AGTTCAGATGAATCAGGAGATCCAAATGGCGATGATGTCGAACAAAGAGTAACTCAGAATCCTTGGCAAACTGGCGTGTATCAATAACCAAATGAAGAATGTGAGCCTAGTGAAACATATGAATCAATTCCATAATCTCAACTCCGAAGGTCAACAAGAATACGAAGGCCCAATCCCAAATATGCCAATGCAGCCATAATTGAATAAGCAACAAAGCCTGAGGCGTTCGATGAAGCATCGCAGAGTTCTGAGTGGATGACAGCTATGAAAGAAGAGATCGATGCACTTCATCAAAATCAAACTTGAGATATTGTGCCAAAGATAAAAGATGTGAAACCCATATCTTGTAAATGGGTTTACAAGATAAAGCGTCGTCCAGATGGGTCAATTGAGAGGTACAAAGCGCGATTGGTAGCTCGTGATTTCTCTCAACAGTATGGACTAGACTATGATGAAACATTTAGTCCAGTGGCGAAACTTACAACCGTACGAGTCATACTTTCACTTGCAGCCAACAAAGACTAGAACTTGTGGAAGATGGATGTGAAAAATGCTTTTCTTCGTGGAGAGCTAGATCGAGAGATCTACATGACCCAACCAATGGGTTTTCAGAGTCAAGATCATCCTGAATATGTGTGTAAGCTGCGAAAAGCAATATACGGATTGAAACAAGCACCTAGGTCGTGGTATGGTAAGATTGTTGAATTTCTAACGAAAAGTGGTTATTCAGTAACACCTGCAGATTCTAGCTTGTTTGTTAAAGCCAATGAAGGTAAGCTAGCTATCGTGCTAGTGTACGTGGATGACTTAATCATAACCGGTGATGATGAGGCAGAAATTCTTCAGACGAAGGAGAATTTATCAGTTCGTTTTCAGATGAAAGAACTTGGACAACTTAAGCATTTCCTTGGTCTAGAGGTTGATCGCACACATGAAGGAATATTTCTGTGTCAACAGAAATATGCTAAAGATTTGTTGAAGAGGTTTGGAATGCTCGAATGCAAGTCAACTTCAACGCCAATGGAACCAAATGTCAAAATGTGTGTATATGAAGGAAAAGATTTGGAAGATGCAATAATGTATCGACAATTGGTAGGTAGTCTGATCTACTTAACCTTGACCCGACCTGACATTTCTTATGCAGTTGGTGTGATGAGTCGATAAATGAAAAATCCAAAAAAGCCTCATTTGGAAGCAGTTCGACAAATAATGAGATATGTGAAGAGTACAATTGACTATGGTCTTTTGTACAAAAAATGTGAAGACTGCAAGTTAATTGGTTATTGTGATGTTGATTATGCAAGAGATCATGACACCAGGAGATCAACAACTAGGTATGTATTTAAGCTTGGCTACGGAACAATTTATTGGTGTAGCAAGAGAACACCAACGGTATCATTGTCAACCACTGAAGCTGAGTATCGAGCAGCAGCAATGGCAGCTCAAGAGAGTACATGGTTGATACAGTTGATGAATAATCTACATCAACCAGTAGATTATGCAATTTCGTTGTACTGTGACAACCAATCGAAAAATTCGGCTGGCGGAGAATCCTGTTTTTCATGCCAGAACTAAACATGTGAAAGTACATTACCACTTTGTTAGGAAAAAAGTTTTGCAAGAAGAGATTGAGATGATGCAAATCAAGACAGATGAGCAAATTGCTGACTTGTTTACAAAAAGCTTGAGTGTTGGAAAGTTTGAACATTTCCGTCGTCAGCATGGCGTGATTCAAAGAATGGAGGCTAACATTGAGGGGGTGTGTTGAAAATTCAATATTAGCCTAAATAAGTTCACACCTAAATTAATTTGATGTCATTGCTTACATCAATTTAGTTAGGTGAAAATTAAGTATTTTTCTCATGTTTTAATTTCAATGGTTTATATTATTTAGTGATTATTTTAATGAGTTATTTTAATGAGTGGTTTAGATTGTTTCTTGTAACCTATAAACACCCTACTTGTATTTGAGTTTTATCATCCAACAATCAAAGCTTAATTATAAACATTTGAAAGCTTTCTTAAGAGTTATTCCTTTTTGCAATTTTGTGAGATTATTTTAAAGAGAGTTTTTCTTCTTCTCGATCAATTAGAGTTTTTACTCTATTTTGATTCAACAGTTTATTGATAAAATAAAACCATCTAAACACTTAAAATTAGAATTTTGCACGGTTTCATAAAATTTCCTGAAAGTGACTCAATAAGTAGAAAAAAAGTGAATGAGATAGAACTTAGACATTCGTTCCGTCTGCATCTTTCATACTGACCATTAAACCTTTTGCTCAGTTCTTTCATCATATCAAAGTGACAAAATATAAAGATGATAAGGTGGAGCCGAACCAGATGATGTATTGGTACATCAGTTAGAGTTCCAAATCTTCCATTAATGCGCCCAACAATCTCATGGACCTGGCTTGTAAGCTTTTGATCTATGAAATTAAGAAAATAAAATGCAAGATTTTGACAGGACGGGAGGAAGTAAGCAATATTCACATTAGCAAAAAAATAATGTCAACTATAGTCAAGAAATCCTGCAATTATCAGCAAAAGTCAAGGAATCTTTAAAGTAATCTAGTAGAAGAAGAAAAATGTTGTAAGGAGCATACACTCAGTAACATCAGTCCTGGTAGGGACAGCAATTTGCAGGAGAACCACCTTATCACGCCAATGAGGATTTTCCTCAAGGAATTTTTCAAATGCCAAAACTTTTTGTGGTAGTCCTTTGATCATATCAAGTCGATCAACGCCTAACATTACCTTACAATTATTAAACATTAACCATGAGTAACTCAAAATATTTACATGTTTGCTTTAAAATGAATTATGATTGCTATAAGCATATTAACAAATATCAGTCAAGAGTACTAGACTGTAGTGCTTTCAACTAGGCAAAGAAGACAGGGTGAAATCAATTACTACCTTTCGGCCAGCGAACCTCTCTTTCAGCTCTTTCATGTGTTCTTGGACTTGAGGGAGCTCAAGAGCTCGAATGAACCGATCAGAATCAATCCCAATTGGGAACTGTAATTTCAAGTTCCCAAGAAAAGAAGTTGTTATAAGGAATAGTGTTACAGTGCTAAAAGACCTATAGAAAATAAATAAATGGAAATTGGAAGATGTTTAGAAAATAAAGAAACAGAAAAGGACCAGTTAAGACATACCGCGGCTACACGAGTCAGCTTTCCGTGATCCTCTATTCCTTCTGGTGTTCCCTCCAGCCCAGCAATACGAGTACAGGCACTAACAAAATGCCTTGCATAGTCATATGTGTGGAAGCTGGAAAGCCAACATGCCAGCAATTCAAAACAATACTACAAAAACGGCATAGAGAGCTTGTTTTTGGCAGAAGTAAAATACAATAAACAGAATGCAAGAAGTGATAGAGTACATTTTAAAACTAAACTGACAACAATTCCTTTGGTTGCAAGATGTTCTCTATCATCAGTTTAACCGACCAATAAGTTCTCTAACAATACATGAACACTGAAAAGAAAACAAGACAAAATGTATTTGCCTCAAATGTAACAATTCCAGAAACAAAAATATCTTACCCTACTAAATCAGCAGCAAGTACAGATTTGAGCAGAACCGTCCGAGATGGCAGCGTCCTATGGATTTCAGAAGAAGGAAAAGGAGTATGCAGAAACCAACCGACTTTCATGTTCTGGTTATAATCTTTCAAACATTTCGGAAGAAACATTAGATGGTAATCATGGCACCAAACCACATCCCCTTCCACATAATGTTCATTAACCACATCGGCAAACATCTGGTTTACTCTCTTGTAAGCATCAAACTGCGATTGAAAACTTCTAGTCGTCGCAAGGCGGTCTTCTTGTGGGAGTCCAAGGTAATGAAACAGTGGCCACAATATGTTGTTACAATATCCATTATAATATTGATGAACAGTTTCTTCATCAAGAAATACAGGTATACACCTCTGCATTAAGTAAAGCACAAGATTTAACATTAAACCTAAAACTTTCTAAATCATGAATTACATGTTAAATTGTTAAAAACATTAAGAACTTCATTTCTACAACCTTTTCTGCTAAAGCTTTTCTTAATGTCTTTTGTCCAATTTCATCAGGGACATTTACACCAGCCCAACCAATCCATCTTGTCTCAAATTCTTTCACACCTTCGTAACAAATTAAAGAATGCAGTTTGCAACTAAACAATTGAAAATGAATTCCAGAAAAAGAAAAGAAACGCAATGGGAGAGAATTCATAGTACTAAATTGCAGCCACAACTTAATGTAATGACCTTAATCTTAGCGTTTTATTTTTAGAAAATACTGCAACATCTACAATTGTGATACCGCCATACAGCAGTCGAAATCGTGACCACAATTTAGTACTATACGAGAGATAGAGAAAAAAGAGAGGCGATCGTTTGTTACCAAGAAGTGCACTGACTAAGCCTCCTACACTTATCTCAAGCTGCCAAGAATCATCCGCACGCCTAACTGCAGAAACTGGAAGCCTATTAGCAACCACCAACAAACGCTGTCTGGAAGGCCGGAAATCTTGCCTTTCGCATCTGTCAGAAGAACTTCTGTTGTTAACTGAAATGGTTTCTAATGATTCTTCATCGGTGAAACAACTTGAAGTTTCGGAATCAGGTGAATAAGGATCACTGTTCGATAACTCATTCGCACCATCATTCAATGACTTGTTGAATTTCCTCAACTCCCTTTCTCTAAGAAGTCTCTCCAATCTTGTCCTCGGAGTGCCGGCGGCGTTACATCTGCTCCCTCGCATTCCGTTGATTTTATTTGACAAAGCCTAACAAATCAAAATAGAAACAAATAAATAAATTACAAACCATATATAATATATATATATATATACACACACACACAAAAAAAGGGGTTATTTTATTTCACCAGGTTGTTACTGCTATGCGAAATGCAGGCATCTGCTGATGAAATCGACATTGAAGAAGACGAAAAAGGGTAATATGGAGAAGACGAAGAGGGAAGAGAGCAATTTGGGAAAATTGCGGATATTGTGGGATGCCAAGTCAAAGGTTGTGGTGGTCGTTAACACCAAAGAGTTAGTCCGGAAAAAAATCCATCACCGTATATATATATATACACACTCAGCAGAATCTTCAGAGGTTATTCGTAGACCATGCAATGCAAATGTGCTATATCCGTAACGTACGAATCCAGAATGGCTGGTCCATTGAGTTACGTTTATCGTGCATAACTAACCATGATATTTCTAGGAAACAACCAATGAAATTTAAACTACGATATCACCATTCATTCTCAATTACGTTGAGGGCCTCCTTTTTTTACCATAACTGTCATTTTAATTCTATCCAAATACTAAAAAATATCATGGGATAGTTCTAAGCAACTTAATATAAAGCCAAGAAAATGTGCGACCGAAAATTTTATAAACAATATAACATTTTAGGTTGCGCAGAACTTAAAATATTAATATTTTAACTTTTTCAGTTCAACCGAAAATATTATGAAAAAAATGTTATGTTAGGTTGCTCGGAACCTAAAATATTCCGAATAATGTTTGCATTCAAAAAATATTATAAAAAATTAATATTTTAAGTTACACTTAATCTAAAATATTATATTTGTTTATAAAATTTTCAGTAGTGTCTTTTTTTAGTATTATATTAAGAGTATAATATAAAATGGCCGGATATAAAGCATGTGTGGTTTATGAGCTTATTTAGACGGCCGCTACCATCACGTGTGAAAGTGAATGAGATGATAAGTACTCTCTTTATTACGATACGAAACATGGGAAAATCTCAATGTTATATTCTTAATTTATAATTAAAGAAATACGTTATTGATTTTGTTATTATTTTTTAATAAAATTGATAAAATTTTATTGGAAATATTATTATTTCTATCGATTTTATTATTATTGAGTATTTTACCGATTTTGTTATTATTGGACATTTTACCGGTTTTGTTAACATATCCGATAAAATGTTACCTTAAATATTATTTTTTCTATCGGTTTTGTTATTATTGTGCACTTTACCATAAATGTTAAAAAATATTAATATTTTATGAATAAATAATAATGTTTTAGGTAATTTTTTACCAGTTTTATTAAAAAATAATAACAAAATCGATAACGTATTTTTTTAGTCGTATATTAAGACTTCGTACGATAGAACCTTTCATGAAACATGGATAAAGAAAAAAATGAGTTAAACTGATTTGGAATGAAATATATAAATGTTATTTATTTATTTTAAATATTTACTCATATAACATAATCGATATTTATTAGTATATGAGTACTTGAGACATATTTTTTAGAGGAAGAATAACGTTGTAAATAAATTAAACTTCGAATGAATCTTTTATCATACTCTTTCTTCCCCATTAAAGATTTTTTTATTGACTTTTTAAAAGTTAATTTTTTTAAACTTTGATCAGAATTATTTTAAATATATTCAATAATTAAATTTTATAAAATATATATTTGAAAATTACTCGATTGAAGGTTTTTAAACAATAATAGGTTTTAAATAATAACTACTCAAAGTTTAAAAAATGACCAAAAAATGTCAATAATGAACATATTTTATGAGTCAATTAAAATTTGTGTATAATGTTCAAAAAACTTATGTGCATGCATTCATTTGTTTTTTTTAATTAATTTAAAGGTGATTATAAGGTAATATTTTTTTAAAATTCTCAATACATTTGACAATGAATGCTTAAACACTATTGACATAAAATGTGTTCGAACCCAAGACATCTAAAGATAACAATCACTCATTTAACTACTAAGGTAACTTAATTCATACACGCATATTTATTTGAAATGCACATAAACACGTATAATATTATGTTCACAAATAATAAAAAACAAACTATAAATAAGTATATTTTTTTTTCAAAATTTTATTTAAAAAATTATTTTTTAATAAAATTTAAAAATTCTGTGAAGTCTTAAAAAGAATTCAAACCCTAAAATATTTAATTTCAAACTTTCTATCATCGTCGTCGGTCATCTTTAGTCGTTATCATTAATCGATCATCCATTCATCGTCGCTTACCGTCACAAACACTATCGTCGAATTCATCATCTTAAGAGGCAGATAGCATTTATTAAGAATTAACAATTTAAATATTTAAGATTTTAGAGATTAAAATTCAAAGATTTAAGAATTTGGAAAAAAAAATAAAGACAATGATTGGTTGATGTATGGGCGACGATGAGTGCTTGATCGGTCTACTATCACTATGACGACCAAAAATGATTAAAAACAATAATGAGAGGTTTAGAAATGGGAATATTAGGAATTTTGAGTGGTTTTCGAATATTTTTAATGATCATAATTAATTAAATACTTAAAATAATATTATCATTTTTTTTATTAAATCCTAAAAAATATTAGACATGACTGAAAGAAACTTTAAACAACTACTTTGGCATTTTTAATTGAGTATTACTACAAGGCTTAAATGTCCTATTATCTCTTGAAATATATCGTTTCTATTGAATTGCCTCTTAAAATATTTATCGGGATATTTGATCTCTCAACTATAAATCTTTTTTTTATCTGACTAAATGAAAATTAATTAAGAAAATAAAATAAATGACATACCAAAACTACCCCTCTCTTCCCCCTCTCCCCCCCCCCACCTTTTCTCCATCTCAGCCGTGAAATTCCCTCTCTCCCACCTTTTCTCCATCTCAGCCGTGAAATTCCCTCTCTCCATCTCCACCGTGAGACTCCCTTTCCCCAACCCCAACATCCCTCTCAATTAACCAAAACCCATCGACAATGTAAACGACTTGTTTAACTTTTGATTGTTTCACGGTCTGCTTATATAATTTGATCTTAATGTTTTCTGGGTTTTTATCTCTATTTTTTCCTTCTTTCCCCTTTCTCTTGATTGTGGGTTTTGTTTTGGTAAAGCATAAGAGGAAAATTTGAAATCTTTTAATGTGTGTTGATTTTGGGTGATTTCTGAATTATGATTCTGCTCGTGTTGGAGGAGGAATAAGAAATAAGAACTAGGCTCATCCACAATATTTATAATCTTTGAAGATGATTGTCGCCTCATACATACATCCGATTATGAATGGCTTTTCCTTCTTCTTCCAAGGCTTTCAGAGTATGTATCCAATGAGTAAAGCTAACAGAGAAAGAGGGTTAATGTTCTTGTTCTTGTTTCATCCTTTTTTATTCAAAAAAAAAAAAGGTTACCCAATGAACCCAATTTAAAATTTTGTTAATTTTCATTATAATTGAATCTGAACATTTCTTTTTGTTTCTTCCAGATACAGATGCGGAAGTGGAGAAGGAAAAGGAGGGTTATTGTACAAACTTGTAGACCCAAATCCTCTACAGTTACTAAACCACCACCACCGCCTAGTCCTCCGCCATGGCTACCACCACAGCTGCCACCGTGTCACATTTTTTCAGGAGCTGCATCTAAAACTTCAACCAAGGCTCCGGCAGAATTCAAGCTAGGTTTGGCTTTGGAACCAATAAAGCACCGCCACAACCCAAAAAATCAGCCATGAAACCGCCTCTGAACGCCTTGTATGGTTCTCAGGGGCGAACCCGCCGGAATGGCTGAACGGAACAATGATGGGAGACCGAGGGTTCGACCCTTTCGGGCTGGGTAAACCAGCGGAATACTTGCAGTTCTATTTGGACTCGTTGAACCAGAACTTGGCGAAGATTGTGGCTGGGGAGGTCATAGGGGTGATTAACGAGACGACAGAGGTGAAACCGACGCCGTTCAGACAGACATGGAGGTGTTCGGTTTGCAAAGGTTTAGAGAGTGCGAGCTGATTCATGGGAGATGGGCAATGTTGACCTGTTGGGTACTCTTGGTGCTATTGCTGTTGATTCATGGGAGAGGGGTAGTTTTGGTATGTCATTTATTTTATTATTTGATTTTCATTTATTTAGATAAATAAAATAAAAATTAAAAGAAGATGTGGCACGTGAATTTTATTTTTAACGATATTAATAATTAATGGTAAACAGATTTATAATTAAAAATAAAATATCTCATAAAATATTTTAATAGATAATTCGGTACAAATAATATAGTTTAGATAGAACATTTAAGCCTTACTATAATAACTTAATTAAGCCCAGTCCAGTTATAGGCTCTATTTCGGCCCTAAATTAAGCGATTCCGCCTCCTTTAAAATTCACGGCGGAACATCTCGTCAACAGTAAGAAAACCGCCATGGTTTTACGACCGCGTGCAACCGTAATATTTTTCATTCTTCTCGCCGCAACCGTACAACAAACCGTAGATTCCATTTCTTACTCTCAATACGGAACCTTAGTCTCCCTCTCCCAATCCCTCCTGACTCGCGTTTCCAACTTACGATCCGCTCGCGGTGACGTTGATGGCTCTAAACGCGCAAGGCTAATCGCTGAGAAGCTGGAGCGGTGGCAAGGGGTTGGATTGTGGGGCGCGGCGTGGTCGGTAGGATGGGACTACGTTTGGAACTACGGCTGGGGTAGAGATCTGGATTATACCGAAATCTTCGGCGTCGCATCGGATTTAAACCAGTTAGGTAGAATGTTGGGCGAGTTGACTCGGCCTAATTCGGAGATGGACAGGGCTAGCTGGGTTGCTGGAAATTACAGAAAAGCCCTCGTCATTTCGAAACGGATGTTTAACCGTCTTCTCAAAGTGTTTAAAAAATCGGTACGTTCCTGTTTCAATCGTTTTCTTTAATGTTCCAATTTATTAATTAGAGTTCTAATTTTAGATTGATTCATGTGTTGGTGAAAAAAAATGGGCAGGGGGTATTAAGGGACATAACTGAAACGATGCAAAGAGAAGTACTGGAAGGAGGCCTACTGAGTGACTGCCTGGAAATTGGGAGCAATGACTTGAGAGGACTGATTCAAATTTTAAAAGATTTAGCTTCACAGTATTCTACCCCTAATTACTCCCAAGAATTGTGATTCGATCAAACAAATTGGACAATTACTGGTAATCTTTCTTATCTTTCAGTTGTTTCAAATTTGTATCCAACATGTACTTGGAATTTGGGTTATTTCACATCAACTTAATTCAAATTGGATTTGTTAATTTCACTTACCAAAGTCGACTGAGCATCTTAACTCAAATTTCCCCCAATTATTAAATTTTATCCATTTATGGCTTCATCCTTGATTGATCGATGATGAGAGCATTAATGGCTTGTTTCCTGATTTCCTGTAACCAAGGTACACATTGAATGAGTGTTTTAGAATTACAAAATGAAGACGATCAAAAGTAAACCCAAAATTAAATAGGAGTAGCCGAAAGGTACCGTGATTTCTCTATGGAGTTGGTGAAATGGCATGTGATTGGACTTCCATTTTTCTTCTGTGGACCAACTTGATGATCTGCATCGAGCTTTTGGAAATTGTCTTCGCAAATGTCAATTTTCCAGAAATAAAAAACAAACTAAACGGTGAACGAATAAAAAGGCAATGAAACAAATTAATTGGAGTTAAGTGATGCTGCCTGGAGAGAAGCTGACAGTTATGCTCGGTGTGGGGGAGTTGCTAGAGATAGTTCTGGCACTTGGTCATTCGGGTTTTCTAAGTTTATTGGAGCTTGCTCGATGATTGATGCCGAGTTGTGGGATGCTTATATTAGGCTCAATTTTGCTTGGGATGCTGGATTTTGTCAGATTATTCTTGAGCTTGATAGTATGGAAGCTTTAAACATTCTTAAATCGGATCACAATGGAGCATACTCGTTAAGCTGTCATCTTAATGAGTTGACGAGACATAATTGGTGTGTTCAAATTCAACATGTCATTCTAACAGTAACAAAGTTGTTGATGCCTTGGCAAAAAGTGCTTCATTCGACAACTTGGATCCTATTCTTATTGCTTCTCCGCTGACCTCGATTGTTAGACTCTTGCAAGAAGATAGAATGCTGACTGATTCTGTTACTGGTTAATTTATGGTTGATTATTTGTTGTTGTAGTTTGGTTCTCTGTTGGAGTTTGTAGATTACACGTGTATTCTTTTCCTCCATCTAGGTTAGGGAGGTTGAGGTTTTTAATGAGGCATGTGTTAATCCTCTCTTGTATGGTTTCTTCTTGAGACCTTTTACTTTTTTTCATCATGTGGGAGTTCGAATTAATTCATGTTTATTTACTTCTATCCATGTGGAGGGGGGAAGAAACTTCTGTACTCGGCTACAAAATTTATTTTGTACATTGAAGGGGTTCCATTTTTTTATTAATAGAAGTTTTGGGTATCGGTATATACGGTTCTAATGAACCAACATTAAATTTTGAAACATTAGCTAATCAATCATACCTGTCGCACTGGAAAGAATATTCTATATTGGATTTCTTATTGCTTTTGCTGTCAAATGGCCAATTATACCCTTGCATACGTGCCAGACACCCACGGGGAGGTCCATTACATTAAAAGAATCGTTGATGTTCTTAGAGGTCACGGGTTCGAACACCAACAACTGCAGTAAAGTTATTGAGCGTATTTAGAACAAATATTACTTTATAATCACCTTAGCTTAATAAAAAAATCTTATTTTTCATAAAAAAATGAAACAACTTAATTGAAATCAATCCTCTATCTATGACTGATTAACATCCTCATCACTAATATAGAGTTGAAGAAAAGATAAAAGCTTCTATTTAGTGCTCATTAATTGAAATCAATCCTCTATCGATGACTGATTAACTTTCTTGTATTGGATTTTGATCAAAATATAAAACCTTTTTTGGACTTACATCACACATTTAACTTTCTATAATTAATTTTAAAAAATATATATATATATATATTATCAAAATCAACATAACCATCATCGATCGATAATAATGTTTAATTTTCTCACCACGATTTTATAAAAAAAATAACAATTTATCGTAAAATATACTACATTCTCATAAATTTAAAATAAAATGAGTTATCATCATATCATACATAGTCTAACCTACTTCAATTGTAAAAGCTAAGAACTTTATCACCGATTCTCGCCCTTTCCACGATTCATCCAACACTCTATATATACACTTACAAATCAACACTTATATTCCCATACCTTACGCTGTCACACATCTCCATTGTTATTCCTTTTTTCCTTCTTTTGGAGCTTTTAAGTTGCTGGTAATGTGGAGAAATGTTGTGGGGTTGTATGGTTGGTTTTAAGGTTGTGCTTTGGGTTAGAGGTGCCCCTCAAGTCCCTTGTTACTTTATTTTCGGGGATTCATTGGTGGACAATGGTAATAATAATCGACTGTCGTCATTGGCTAAAGCTAATTACTTGCCTTACGGCATTGACTTCCCTAATGGACCGACTGGAAGGTTTTTCAATGGTAAAACTACCGTAGATGTCAAAGGTGAGCTTCTATTAATCCATATTTTTCTCTTCTTTCGTTTGTTTGACTGCTTAAACCAAGTATGTCTTTCAACTGAAAACAACAGTTTGAAGGTATACACCAATTTGGATTAGATTATGACTTATTTCAACACCGTTTTTATCCTGCAGCTCAACTCTTGGGGTTGGACAATTATATTCCACCTTACTCCGGCTAGCGGCCGACAAATACTCGGAGGAGTTAACTATGCATCCGCGGTTGCCGGAATCAGAGAAGAAATCGGACAGCAACTGGTAAAATTAATGGTTTTTATAGTTATAATCCCACCATTTAATGTTGGGAACTAAAACTTTCGTCTGCAAACTTGTCCTATACAGGGAGCTTGGATCAGTTTCAGCGGCCAAGTCAGAAATTACAAACAAACAATTTCACAAGTAGTGAACTTGCTTCGGAACGAAGCCACAGCACAGCAAATCACTTGAGCAAATGTATTTACTCAATCGGACTCGGTAGCAACGTTTACCTTAACAACTATTTCATGCCCCTTTATTACTCGAGCAGCAGACAGTACCCCAGAGCAATTTGCCGATGTTTTTATTCAAGAATACACTCAGCAGCTTCAGGTCACTGTATCTAGTTTCCATTGATCTTTACATATAATTCCCAGTTTTGTTTTCCCACAAATCTCTGACAATTATAAATAAAAATGGTTTAGGCTTTGTATAACTACGGAGCGAGGAAGTTTGTGTTGATCGGGGTGGGTCAGATTGGTTGCAGTCCCAATGAATTGGCTCAATACAGTCCAGATGGTAGAACTTGTGTGGAGAGAATTAAAGGTCTGGTTGATCAATTCAATAACGCCAATTCTGATTCCAAGTTCTTCTACATAAATGCTTAAGGAATTTTCCAGGACATAACGAGCAATCCTTTGACTTAAGGTAAACGACGGCGGGCAGTTGTTAACATCGATTAGACGTTGAACATTAGTAGTGTTGTATTAATGGTTTTGTTTTTGTGTTTGTGAATGTTCAGGTTTTAAGGTAACAAATGTAGGGTGATGTGGGGTGGGGAGAAACAACGGACAAATTACCTGCTTGCCTGCATAAACTCCATGCCCAAATAGGAACGAGTACTTGTTTTGGGATGCTTTTCATCCAACTGAGGCTGCAAATGTGATCGTTGGGCGGAGATCTTACAGTGCTCAGTCTTCCATCGATGCTTACCTGATCGATATCCGCCGGTCTTGCCCAGCTCTGAAGATATATCCTCCGGTAGGATTTTTCTAAGGGATTTGTCATTTGATTGCTATGTCAAGTACCAGAGTTTGTATCATCAGTTATAATGCTAATGAAACATTAAATTGATAGTGTTTGCTATTAGCCCACAATATTATATTTGCGGCTGTTCATTATTGCAAACATGCCTTCATATACTGTATGGAAACAACTTGATAAGTTCAACTTAGATTATTTCTCCTTCACCCACCGACGCTGCCACTGCTACAGCCACCATGCCGATGCCGGAGCTGTTTCTGACCAAACAATAAATAAGAAAAGCTTAAAACCTACATAAATAAATATATCGTATCTACATATATCATGATATATATGATAAGGTTTTAGGTTAAATTTTAATGATTAAAAATAATTACTTAATCGATATGAAGAAATGAAATGGGTGAAAATAATTATCAAATAACCAAAAAAAAAAGGCTACAACTAATAATATTCCTTTTCCTTATAGTGGGAAAATCTGATCTCTCTCGTACGATTCTGAAATAAATTATAATATGATTTTTTTACGAATTAAAAGGCATGGTATTAATTACTTCCTATCAACAGGATAGGCATGTATAATAGAAACTAATCTGAATATTGGAATGAAAATGGCTAAAGGAAATGAACAAAGACCATTCCACAATGATGTGCGATGTTTAAAAGCAGAAACACTTGACATAACAATGTTATATTTACTGGAAAATATAGCCGAGTTTTCTGAAAATCAAATATTGAGACTGAATAGAGGGGGGGAAAGGAGAGTAGTCATAGACCTAATAATCAGACTATCAACCGTAAAGGAAAAATAAACAAACAAAAAGAGCCACAATGTACACAATAATGGAACGAACAAGGACCGCCTGTACTGCAAAGAATGTTTTTTTTATAGGACTGCAAAGAATGCTTACTTGTGGGAAAAGGGTAATCCTACCAAAACAATTAATGGATCAGTAATTCAGTAATGAGTACTTAATACGCAATACAATCTTCCCCTTGTCCACCCCAAGCTTCGCCCCTGTAACCAACCAATGCCCTGGACTATCCTGTGCTCCTTTCAACATTTCTGTTGAGTCCACAATTTTTGCAAGTTTCCCCACATGGCTCGAACTATCCTCCTTTTTACTCTCAGAACTTCTCTCAATTGAAACTGATGATGAAGATCCGTCAGTCCTCTGCCCAGTTGAAAGGCCGGATGGACTATGATCCCACACGGATCGCCTTATTGTGCACCCTGGTACTTTGGAGAAGAGGAGTTTGAGGTGTAATACGTTTTTGGAACCAAAGTCCCATACACCAAGCTGAGCCCCTGTGACAATGTGAACACCGGAGAGGTCTCCAATGCAAGTGTCGGTGTGTTCTATCGGTGCAGTGCTTACATGGGAGAAGTTCTTCCACT